CTGCCCTGTGCGCTTGCCTGAGTTTCCCCCTACCTCTGCCTTCTGTGGCTCCCCTGACTTTCTGCCTGACCATCCCAGATTCCCCGTGCAAGAGTGTGGATACCCCATGGGCTTGCCCAGAATTGGGTTTGGTCTCTGTGCTTCTGACTCCTTCTGCTATAGAGAGGCTGCAGCAACCTCTGCAGTCAGTCCTCTGCAGGTACTCACTGGCTAGCGCACACTATTGTAGATCCTGCCTGCCCGCTGCAGCTCCCGGCTCCCCCAGTCTCTCAGTCTCTGAGTCTCTGGGCGCCTTTCTCTACAGTCTGGATTCCACCCCTATGAGCCTGGGTCCACGGGGTTTCAGTCGGGATTGGGATTCAGTGCAATCATGAATTCCTCCCCTCCTGCCAGCCAGGCATTCGGCTGCACTTCCTATCTGCCTGCGAGCATCTCCCTACCTCAGTGCTTTGGGCTCCCAGTCCAATCCATGAGCCTCTGTCCTTCTTTCTAGTTGTAGATTTCCTACAACGACAGCTTTTCTGTGATTTTGGATGAAGTCCTTTCTGATTTTACTGTGTTTCCCCAAAAAGAAGTCAACCCTCAAAAATAAGACCTACCTTCAGGTTTCCTTCTGAGTGAAATGTAAGGCATCCCCCGAAAATAAGCCCCCCCCAAGGCTAAACATGAGAGATTTGGTCCACTGATTCTGAAAGAAATGGAGTCACAAGAAATTCACCAGGATATTCAGGAGTTGGATTGTTATGATGATGTTCCAGAAGATGATGACATGATTGTCATTGAATAAATGAGTAAATTCTTGATACTGTAGGATTCACAGTTTGTCTGGTTTGTGTTGACAACTACCATACTACCGTACCATATACAGGTAATAAATTTCCTTTATTTTCATTTAACAATAAATGTGTACCGTATTCTTCTTCATGGAAAAATAAGACATCCCCTGAAAATAAGACGTAGCATCTTTGGGAGCAAAAATTAATATAAGACACTGTCTTATTTTTGGGAAAACAGGGTAGTAGTTGTTTTTTAAACTGTTGTGTGAGGCAGCAGCTTACGTGCTTATCTAGGCTGCCATCTTGATTTCTCCATTCAGTAATCTTTTAAAAAGGTATTTTCACTAGCTATCCTCAGGTGAGAATTCAAAAAACAAATAATCATAGAAAAATAAATAAAAAATAAAATCTACATTTCAATAATAAATTCCTTTTATTCACATATATTTTAACTTATAACTCATTTTAAAACATAGTCCTCAAGAAAAGAATCTTCTGCAGATCACTCGGGAGGAAAAATGGGTGAGAAATGGTGCACTGGGGAGGTTCATTGACTCCAAGTTAGAAACCTCTCCCTTTCAAGGTATAAATCTTAAGCTAACTTAGAAATCTTCAAACCTGCCCAGTGAGCATTATTCAGTGGTTGAATGTCAACCTATAAACCAGGAAGTCACAGTCTGATTCCCAGTACAGATACCATATATGCCCAGATTGCAGGCTCAATCTCTATGGTAATGTGTGTAGGAGGCATCTGATTAATGGATTCTCTCACATCATAGATGCTTCTGTCTCTCTCCCTCCCTCTACTTTTCTGCAATCAATAAAAAATATTAGAAAGAAACACATGTTCAATAAATATATGAAGGTATCTGAATTCACAAGTAATCAGAAAAACTCAAACTTAGCTGAGACTGCCATTATTCACCCATTGAATCAGCTAAAAAAAAAATGAAGAAAATTTAGAGGTGGAAGGATAGAGGAAACAAATACTGTAGTTCCATAGTGATCAGAGTATAAGTTGGCATAATTTATTTGAGGGCAATTAAAATGTATCAATATACTTTCACCCTAACAATTCCATTTCTAAATATATATTCTACATAGATACCTGCCCATGATACCAAAGATACATGAACAAGAAAGTGTGTTGCATTAAATACATGTAACAAGAAGACTGGACAGAATCTAAACATCCATCAGTAGGGAGATTATTAAACTATGGAATGTTGTGAAATAGTTTAAATGAATTTGGTAACCCTCTCTGTATCAAGAAGTAAACACATGTAAGATATATTATAAGGTAAAAGAATAAAGGGGTAAGATGTTATCAATTATGTTAAAAAATATATGAAAATCACATAACATACCTAATTAGCTATCTGTCAATATGTATCCAGGTAAATGCCTGGGAAAAGGTCTGTAAGGATATACTCTATAGTAAACATAGAGTAGCAGTTATGTTAGGGTGGGCATGATGGCATAGGAGGGTTTCACTATACCTGCTATTTCATTTTTATATATTAAAAAAATAATCATGTATTACTTCTTATAATGGAAAATAAGTTTAAGATGACTCTTATTTTAAAGAGGGCCTACCAAATTTAATTTTTAAAATAAACAAATTGCAATCAATAGACGTTGATTTGGGATAAAGAGAGGATAATACCTTTTCTCAGAGCTATTGACTTCAAAATTGTGGACCAAGAAGAATCTTACAATACAATAGTTTTTAAAATTAATTTTTTTCAGGATATACTCACAGTTTCTCAACCAAATGGTATGACTTCCATGTATCTTTACCAATATATGAAATTGCATTTCCCTGCAAGTTTCTGTGAAGAAATACAGTTCATATTATTGAGTAGGTAAGAAACGAATGAACAGAATAAGAAAAACAATCATGGCAACCTTGATATTCAAACGCAGAAAACACAAGCTTTCTAATTTCTACCACTGTCAACTTCCCAGTTTGCACAATTAATAAAGACATAATGAGAGATCTAGTTGGTTTGGCTCAGTAGATAGAGCATCAGCCTGTTGACTGAAGGGTCCCAGGTTCAATTGCAGTCAAAGGCACATGCCTGGGTTGCAGCTCAATCCCCAGTAGGGTGTGTGCAGTAAGCAGCCAATGAATGATGCTCTCTCATCCTTAATGTTTCCATCTCTCCATTCCTCTCTGAAATCAATAAAAATGTGTTAAAAAAAAGAAAAAAATGAAAACAGTAAGAATGTTTCCATGAATTACAACTGTTTAAAGGAAGCTGTTAAATTCCTGAGATTCGGTTTCAAAACACTAACTCTGTGGATGACTTTGAATCTTTAGCTTTGTCCTCTTCCCTCAACTTACCTATTCAGTTTCCATGTTTTTTAGGAAGGTCAGAAAAAGTCAACTAGCTGCCTGCTCCTCTGCCCAGTGGACATTTCCACTCGAGCAGAAGCCTTCCTGTTGCTTTATGCTCACCCATAAAAGATGCCCAAACTGAGCTCACCTCCTCAAACTGGCTCTATTTCCCAACTGCTGTATGTCTGCCTGTCACACCACGGCTGTTCTCCTCATCTTTCAGGACAGAAATTTTCCAGGTTCATATTTGATCTTTCTCTCTCCTGTACATCTCATCTCTCACTCTAGTCAGTTACCAAACTTTGTCCGTTCTTCCTTTATAGTGTTGCCTAGATTTTCCTTCAACTCCAGTCACAACCACTCTGATTCAGAACCTTCTCACTTGACTCCTAGAGTATTCTATTTGGTCTCCCTGAGTCAAGACTCCCTCTTTAGATCGCTCTAACTATGGAACTTAAACCATTCTTATTTTAGTCATTTCTCTCCCTCACCTGAAAACTTTCAGTGGGTCTCCTTATCTCAGTTTAACTTCCAAACCCGTAGATCAGATAGTCAAAGTTTTTCATAATCATATTTTTCTTCACTGCTTCCTAAACCAATTCTTTCTAACCAGATTGGTCTATTAAGTCCTAATCATTCCTGTAGCCATGCCTTTGCTCTCACTTTTTTAACAAACCACACACACCCTTTAAGTCCCAGCTAAAGTTTGGCTTATCCATGCAGCTTTCCTTGACTTCCACACCCCAATAACTACAGATTCTGCTGAATGAGAGCATCTCTGGCCTGTATCTCTTTTAGTGCTTAGTTATATATCACCTCCTTTTTAAAATGCACATTCCCTTTCTTCTCACCTCCATTTTCATGTTTCATAGACAATGCCATACTTCTGTGCCTCCCGCAGTACTTACACCTGCGTTGGGCACATAATGGATGATTTATTTAGAAAGCCAGGGGCAAAGATAAGTTCTAGATATGGATTAGGGATCAAATAGTAATAGCCACCACAAACATATGTTAAGAACTTGTATAAGTACTATCCTATATAATAAAAGCATAACATGCAAATTGACTGAACAGTGCAACAACAGGTAGCCATGCACTCACTGACCACCAGGGGCAGAAGCTCAATGCACAAGCTGCCCCTGGTGATCAATGTGCTCCCTCAGGGTGAGCACTGCTCAGCCAGAAACCAGGCTCACAGTTGTGAGCTCACTGCAGCAGCAGTGGCTGGAGCCTCTCCAACCAGTTCAGCAGGCAGGTGGTAAGGAGCAAAGGATCCTGGACTGCTAGATCTGCAGACTGCATGTCCCCCGAGGAGTCTTGACTATGAGAGAGTGCAGGTTGGGTTGAGGGTACCACCATCGCCACAGGCATGAATCTTGTACACTGGGTCTCTAGTATATACAGTATAGAGTACTTCTAAAACTCACTATAATCCTATGTAATGATAATTATAGAATGTTCATTTTATATATAAGGAAATTGAGTCTTAACACTAATAAATGGCATACTATGTTCAAACCATTCACTCTGGCTGTACAATCTCTATTCTTAACCATTTTGTTGCACCACAACCAATGAGTCTGGGAGAGGGCCATGTTGCTGTAAAGAAAATGGAGCAAAGTACGAGAACAGTAGAGGTTAAGGAATGAAATGCTAAGGCTAAAATTATGGTTAAATAACATGGGCAATTACAAGCAAAAGACTGGTTAATGGGGAACAATAGTATTAAGGAGAATGAAGATAAGGAACAGTTGTTAAACAAAGATGAAAACAAGGTCATTCAACATGGTTAGGGGGACATGAGGAAGGCCCAGGAAGACATCAAGGAAAAGGCAGCCATATCAACCAAGATGCAGAGAACAAAAGAGGAAAGGCAATGCTTACAAAACTTTGAAAGAGCCATTGTAGGTGCTGGGCTCTGGCACTCTTTGGAGTCTCTTGTTTGAGCCAAAACCAACACAAGACAGTGTCCCATTATTGCAGGAACAGAGCTCACATATGTTCATTGTGGCAACCTGTTGAGTCATTGGAGGAACTGACTCTGATGACTCTGGTTCCAGAGTTATTGTAGCTTCAAGGTCAAATGATACAACTGTGGCCTTGACTTCAGAAAATGTTGCCTGCTGAACCTGAACAAGTTGTGGATGTTGAAGTGTCACTTCAGGGTGCAGTGGAGGAGCTTCATTCTGCTGCAGGGCTGTAGCATCAGCCTCCAAAGTTGTTTCTGGAGTGATGGTGAGCTCCAGGTCCAAAGGTGGAAATGTTGGTTGTTGAGCCTGCATAGTCTCTGGTGGTGGATGTGGCACCTCAGGGTACTTTGGAGGAGATGCAGTTGGCTGCAGGACTGTAGCACCAGCCTCAGAATTAGGTTCTATATTGATGGGGACTCCCAGTTCCAATGGTGGAGAGGTTGGTTGCTGAGCCTGAACAGGCTCTTGAGGTGGAAATGCCACCTCAGGGTGCTTTGGAGGAGCTTCAATTGGCTGCAGGGCTGTAACATCAGCTTCCAATGTAGGTTCTGGAATGATGGGGACTTCCAGTTCCAATGGTGGAGATGTTGGCTGCTGAGCCTGAACAGGCTCTGAAAGGGAAAATGTCATTGCAGGGTTTAGTGGATGAACTGCAGGCTGCTTCAGAGATGTATCAGCAGCCCCCAATGTATGTTCAGGAGTGATGGTGAGTCCAAGGTCCACAGGTGGAATGGTGGGCCACTGAGCCTGAACAGATTCTTGAGGTGGAAATGCCACCTCAGGGTTCTTTGGAGGAATTGCTGTTGCCTGCAGGCCCATAGCACCAGCCTCTGAAGTAGACATAGCTGGGGACTCCTGAGGTGATGTAGCATGATGAGTTGACTCTTTCCTAGTAGGAGATGGTGCAATCTTCTTAGGAGGCTCAGAAGTTATCAAAACCCCCAGGTCCACATCTTTAACCCCAATGGGCAAGACTCGTTGAAGTTCTCGTTGATGGGCTAACAAAAACTTCAACGGCTCATAGGACACCTTAGACTTAATTGATGCTTCTTGTTGGAGTGGAAGCTGATCTGAAGTCTCCTGAGGGTTTGGAGGTAAGTCCTCTGCAAGATTTTGCTGATCCCAAGACCAGGGCTTGGAGGTCCCCAGGGGGATGGAGGTCAGCATGATTGAGTCCATTGACAACTCCGGAATTGGAGCTGCCTGGACCTGCAGCCATACCAGCTGCCACAGGAACAGAAACATTGGGGCCCACATGTGCACCCCGGACATGATAGGCAGAGGTCCGGGGCACAGTGAGCCACCAAGGCGAATGGGGCGAGGAGAGTGCCCCAGGATACTGGAACACAAAGAGCAATTGAAAGTAATGGAGCAGGAGGAATGATCCACAGTACTGGGGAACTATCAAGCAACCCAGACAAGTGGGATGCAAGTACCATGCGCTGAGCAGGAGCTCAACAATTGGCAGCTATGTCACAATTGGCAGCCCTGTCATGCTTGTGCCTCCTGGCAACCAAGCACCCCTCCCCCACCTCAGGTTCTAACCTTTATTATTTTTGGGCTGAAGTGAATATAGAAGAGTAAGCCTTTCCCCCAGAATCACCAGGGATCACTTTGTTCCTTTCATATGCACAAAAGATAACTGTCTCCTTCTTGGTCTCTCCTCCCTGCTCACAGTGAGGCTGGATTTGGCCTGAGCACTAGGGTGTCTCCAGAGCCCGGGCATGGTGGGATATGGGAAGGTTGTGTAAAAGAATGTGGGGAGTTAGGGGGTATTGAAGAACTTTTCAAGAAATCCACAGGGCTTGGCATCTCAGGAAATTCAGAAGAGCTAGTCTAGTCTGGCAATCTGAGCTACTCTTCAAAGCTGAACTCTGAGAGTGTCTTCCTCCCAATGGTCATACTGCTTCTAGGAAGAGTAGCTGACCTACAAAATACATCAGTTAGAGTGGTGTGGAATGGGACACACTTTACAGTTCAAAAATGTTGCCATTTCCTTGAAATTCTCAAAAAAATTTAATTCTCATCCAAAGATATGTTTATTGATTTTAAAGAGAGATAGGGGGTAGGGCTTAACCCTCATGATATCATTTAACTCTAAGTACTTGACAAAAGAAATAATAATATTGCATCGGTGGTTGGATTTCAACATATAAATTTGGGGTGAGGGAACATAAATATTTCAATTTTGGACTTCTATACACCCAAACTGTAAGAGAATAAATTTATGCTGTTTAAGTTTGTGGTACTTTGTTACAGTAGTCCTATGAATCTAATACAGACTCCAATTACCCTTCAGGAATGGTTTTGAACTGAAGTGATTAGTGGGTTAAGAAATTGTCTCAGGTCTCTTCTTTAAAATAAAGCTAACTGAAAATGGCATATACATATATAACTTTCCTTAATCTTTAGAGAATGAAAGAACTATTACCTTTTTTAAAGTACACTTTTCTTGGTTTCAGAGAGGAATGAAGAGGGAGAGAAAAACATCAATGATGAGTGAGAATCATTGATTGACTGCCTCTTGCATACAACCTACTGGGGATTGAGCCCACCACTTAGGCCTATGCACTTGATGGGAATCCAACCTGGGACCCTTCATTCCTCAGGCCATTGCTCTATTCACTGGGCCAAACTAGATTACGCTAAATTGTTTATTGATTGGGATTTTTTAATGAATGGGAATAGTTGTGATAGCATGAAATAATTTGTATACAATATATTTTACAGTAGAAGTAATGAATGACCTAATCTATTGAGCTGTTATCTCATTTGTCTTCCTTTAAACTATAAGGCTTAGAACCCAGATGGCAGAGGTATCCAAGAAGATTAACACAAAAGTGGTTGTCTCTTGAAAGGTTCAGTAATTCAAAGGGCTATTTTTAGTGTCACGTGAGGCTCATTATAATTACTTCCTTTAAGCCAAAAAGAATCTATTTGCTAAGGAACACCATTAATTAGCTTAATAAGGATTAAAGACATACAAGGCTCTAAGTGCCCTGGGCAAAGGATTATAATTGAGTTTTTATAGCAAAGAACATCTCCTTATATCTCAATAAGTAGAATTATTAGGCAAGCATTTCATTTTTAACAAGGAGGAGGATGAGGAGATTTTTATTTTTGTAACTAGTGCATTCCCGCTGCCCATTATACAGCTTCTCCAATGAGGGACCCCTTGGGGGGGGGGGGGGTTTCTGACTGTCAGGTTAGGCCCAATCCCTGTGTAATTGGGCCTAAACTGTCAATTGGACATCCCTCTTGCAATCTGGGACAGCTGGCTCCTAAAGGCTCACCTGCCTGCCTGCCTGATTACCCCTAACTATCTCTGCCTGCCTGCCTGCCTAATCACCTCTAACTGCCCTGCCCTATCCACCTGATCTTGCCCCCCCACCCCCAACTGCCCTCCCCTGAAGATCTGGTTGCACTCAACTGCCCTCCCCTAGTAGCCTGATCTCACCCCAAAGTGCCCTCCTCTGTGGGTCTGGTTGCTGCCAATTATCCTCTCCTGCCGGCCTGATCCTTCCCCCAACTGCCCTCCCTTGCTGGCGTGGTTGCCCCCAACTTCCCTTCCCTATCAGCATGATCTTGCCTTAACAGCCTTCCCTTGCCATCCTGATCTTGCCCCCAACTGCTGTCTCCTGCAAGCCTGATCTTCCCCCAGCATCAAGAGCTCCACCTTTAGGGCAGCCATTGATTCCACACACTTCACTCAGATTTGGTTCTGATTGGTCAGTTTCTATGGCAGTCAGTGTCTCTGGGCCTGATCAGAAAGGTGGGGCTGATCAGCTGTCCCAGGGGAGTCCTGGAGAGAAATGGAGGTGCAGCTGCTGGCCAGACTGGGAGAAAAAGAGAGAGCAAGTGCTGGTCAAAAGTTGCCAAAGAGGCAAAGTCCCTGCTTCTCTATTCAGGCCTCTCCTCTCTCTGGCCCTGATTCACAGCCCCCTCAGCTGTCAGTACTGGGGCACCAAGCTTGCAGCTGAAGCAGTCAGCACTGGGTTGCCATGGTAATCCAACACTGACTACCTGTCTGGTCCAGCTTTGAGTTTTGCTAGTAATGCTCATTATTCCCTGCCTTTTTATTATAGAGATTGGTAAAGTTAGAGGCATATTTGATTTATTTACTTATGTAGATATTTCTAACTATACCACTTAGCCATCATTTTTTAATTGTTTTTAATGATTTCAGAGAGAGAGAGAGAGAGAGAGAGAGAGAGAGAGAGAGAGAGAGAGAGGGAGAGAGAGAAAGAGAGAGGGAAAGAGAAGAAGAAGAAGAAGAAGAAGAAGAAGAAGAAGAAGAAGAAGAAGAAGAAGAAGAAGAAGAAGAAGAAGAAGAAGAAAGGAGAGGGAGAGGGAGATAGAAACATAATGAAAGAAAATCATCCCCAGGGTTGAGCCTGAAACCCAGGCAAGTGCCCTGACCAGGAAGCGATTCATGACTCCCTGGTTCATGGGTCGATGCTCAACCACTAAGCCATATTGACTGGGCTTAACAATCAGTATATTTATTTTTTTATTATTGATTTCAGAGAGTAAGTGAGAGGGAGAGAGAGATAGGAACATTAATGAGAGAGAATCATTGATTGGCTGACTCTTGCATGCCCCCTACTGGGAGATCAAACCTGTAACCTGGGCATGTGCCCTTGACCAAAATAAAAACTGGGACCCTTCAATCCACAGACCAATAGTCTATCTACTGACCCTAACCAGCTAGGGCTTAACCTTTTATACATTTATTTTTAATATTGGTATAACAATTCCTACATTGAAATCCTTAACACAAGTTGGCTCTCTTTGTAACTTAATATGTTCTTAATAATACTGTTTATATAACTCATCTGATTAGTTGAACATTTAATATATAAATGTTGATCTAATTTAGATTATATTTTCAAAAAATTCTGAGTTAATGACAGTCAAATTAATGTAAGTGTTGTATATTTTCTTGTTCTATAGAAGACAATTTGAAGTTAAGCTGAATTCCTTTCTCTTTTACAGTCCTTCAAAATTGTAAAAATCATTATGGGTTGTAAAAACACACACCATAGGCCCAAGTTGATCCATGGGCTTTAAATATAAATAATATAAATTTAAATACAAATATATAAATATAATCATAATCATAAACATAAACATAAACAAACATAAACATAGATATAAACATAAACATAAATATATAAATGTAAATATAAATATAAATATAAATGTGGTAATTCATCCACAGAGTGCAAATATCAGGGCACATCAAGTCACACACACACACACACACACACTCACTACAGCACACTTAAATTTACCAGCAGAAAGAGGGGCGGGGCCAGGGATGCATGGAAGGCCTATTCTCTGACCTCCCCTCCCTGTTCCTCAGGGACCCTTCACATTGCAGTTCCTGGGACTGTGGGGGAGGCAGTGAGGAATAAGGCCCATCAGAATTGCTGGGGCTGCACCCTGGACCCCCTGGACAACCTTGAAGCACTAACTCCTTTTTGCCCTGTTGCTAGGTGACTGCTGCAAGCAATGGTTGCCAACCAACAGATACCACAGGCCTGGAGCAGCCACCGTGGTCACCTGAGCTGCACCGCAGTGGAGCCTGGAATTGCATGAGCCTCAGAGATGCCCTAGTGGGAAATTTGCTGCTGCTAGACTGATGCCTCCCCATTGCTGTTATGGGTATTTGCCATTTATTAATTTGTAAACATACTTTTTGTTTTTTATACAAGCGGCTCAGTACTAGAAATTAGTGCACATGTAGGGTTTCAAGCAGCTCTCTTGGGGGCCTTCCTTCCTTGGCTGCCGGCCAGGGCCATCCTTTGTTCCAAGCTGCCCCTTGGACAGCGCACATCACAGGGAGCCATTGAACTCTTCTTCTGTTGGTCAAACTTCTGAGACAACACTGCACATTAGCCATATATATATGTGCACTAGAGGCCAAGTGCACTAATTCGTGTATGGGTGGAGTCCCTTTCGGTGGGCTGCAGGCATTGGGATGAAAGGGGCAGTCCAGTGCCACCTGCCTCACCTGAGTGCTGCTCTCGCTCATCCTGGCTCCACTGGGTCAGATATGATCTCTTGTACAGTCAGTTGTGATCCGGAGAGGCTCTTGCTGCTGCATTCCTGTTCACCAACTGTGAGGCCTGTGTCTGGCGCCCTGACCAAGGGGGTTAAGCGGAATGGAATTGGATCTTCACTCCTGGGAATCCCTTCCTGGCCCTGTATCCAGATTCATCCCACTGAGGTTTGTGCCCTTTATTGGGAGCCACCTGCTGGCTGCTTTT